AAAAAAAAAAAAAAGAAAAAAAAACAACAAGAATAATCAATAAAATAAATAAATAAGAAAAGATTTAGGGTTTATGGGTTTAGAGGGGTATAGGGTTTAGGGTTCTATAAACACCCTAAACCCTGAGTGTTGTGGCGCGTCACATCGCGGGTCTTTGAGTCTGTTCAGCATCGCAGCGCTGAGCAGCTAAACTGAAGGGTAGAGTTGACGGATGCTACCTTGTTAGGGTTTAGGGGTTTGGGGTTTAGGCTATTTGTACTTTACTTGGGGATGTAAGCAGTTGCAAGAATCCCATGATCCTTCAGGTAAACCACAAACCCTAAACCGGGAGCCCTGATGTGATGAACACCTAACTAAACAGATCAGATGGATAAATCCACAGCTCAGACCGTACAGGTGTAGTTGTTGGTTAACACGCGTTAAGGTCTGAGTTTGAAGGGGAAAGGATTCAAGCTTCTGGGCGAGCTTGGTCGGCTTTTTGGTTTGAGGATGTTTGACGGCTTGGGATTTAGAGTTTAGGGCTTAGGGAGGTTTAGGGTTTAGGGGGGTTTGCTAGTTCCGAACCCGGAAGCACGTCGCCAACAGGCATACCCAGACCACCGGAAGGATCTAAAAAGTAGATCCCCTAATTTGGGACCCTATACTACTAAGGGGTACTTTAAAGGGGCACCAAATTAGGGGATCTATTTTTTAGATCCTTCCGGTGGTCTGCATAGTGGACTTCGTGCCGGCTTCAGGAGCTAACCATACCCCTTCCGGGAGCCCCAAACGCTGCTCCTTTAAAGGGATGTATAAGGAGCTTTAATAAGGTTTCTATAAGGGTACTATAAGGCTTCTATAAGGGTACTTGGAGGAATGGGGTTATACGGTTGATGATAGAAATCCTTTGCATTACCTTAAGGATCCTAACACCATGGGAATTATGGTGTATATATTCCTTATTATGGGCAATGCAGGATTTATATCATCAACCGTAGTAGGCTATGACTGCTTATTTAATAGGGCACAACACTTAGAACATTCTATGGCAGAACAACGTCAGGAGCAGTATTGCGAAGTATTCCGAACCTCTCGATGCTACTACACGGAACCCAAGGCATGCCATTAGCAGATCCGTCGAGCTCGAAAGAGGGGTACCCAGATCCGATTCTGAACCAAACGTAAAGAAACAAAAATAGGGGTCGGGATATTGTAGGACACAGCGCCCAAAGCAGGCTTACTGGTCACGGGTTTGCGGTTTGGGGTGTGGTTTGTTGCTAGTCAGGCTATACGTAAAGTCCTGTTCAGAACCTGCCTGTGAACGATGTATGTTGATTTAAACAGGATTGTAGTTTTGGGGCCGTGAAAAGTATTTATGAATAGGTACGTCTATGGGGAACCATAAGAGAAATTCTAAAGTTTCTGAAAGTGCCATCTGGTAAAGTCCCGTATGCAATACCCTGGTTACCCTGAGCCCTCATACCCTGCCAAAGCCACTCAGGATAGCAAAAAAAAAATTGATGAAATCCGTAGCACCTAAATCCTTAACGGAGCAGTTTCCCCCAAGACTCCAAATAGCCCAAAGCAGGTACTATTTGTATACTTGGAGCCTTTGGGTTTCTATTTCGGTTGTAGTACGGCCGCGGATTTACAGATTCGGGTAGCTGGGCCATCAGGGAACCCCACAGTGTCCACATTCTCTATTTTAGTATTGACCATGGGCTGGCCAGGTCGATGCATGGGCGATCGTGTTTAGGGTTTAGGGTTTACCTACAGCCTGCTTGTGCTCCCTTTATTTGGAGTTTGGCTTTCTGGAAAGGAGAAACGAGGCCTTAATCTAGATATAGGATTTATATAAAAAAACCAGGTTTTCCAATATTTAGGGTTTTGGTGTTTAGGACAATAAAAGCTACTTCGCTGGGTTGTTGGCCTACTTTGCAAGGCTATCTCATTGCGACACACGACCCTGAAGCTAAGTCATCCCCCGAAATACAGCCCAAACTCTGTCCCGACCCACCTTCTCCTGCGTCGAGCCGCTTTCTGTGTCACAGTAACACAGTTGAGTCGCAGGCATGAGCAGACCACAACCATTGGAAAATCATATGGAGCTTGATAGCCGAACGTATTGATCCCATATGCCCCGTGCATCTATAACATTCAGCATCCCTCGCCTGCACATGCTATGCTGGAAGCTACACGGGCGAGCAGCTGATGCATCCTGAGCCTTGCTTGCAATGTTGCTTGGAACAGCTAGCAGTATGTACCTTCAAGAACATGTCTAGGGCACACTATTGAGTATAAGTATGCGTGCAAACACTACATGAAAGCTACTTTTGCTCAGGATACAAAGCCCGAAACGTCGCCAGAAGTGACCTATCAAGAACCCTTTGATGAATCAACCTGGGATTGACTCTCCGGCTTAACCTGGCCGGTTTGCCAATGTAATCTTCCTGCATCTGTACTGATTCTGCGACTGGATTAATTATGAACGGTGCCTTGGCACTGTCCATCACCATACGTGTTGCGATATGGTCTAAGAAATGTACTTTCGGAATCATCGTGAAGCGAAGAGAGTGGTTCGCATAGCCCAGCATGCACAGGTGTGCACACCGAGCATAGCAAGCCAAAAAGTGTTTCAAACACTTCCCTAGGCGCTTTCCATCTTGAGACCTCAGCCAGAAGCCTTTGGCATACAGCTCCGACAAGCCATCATTGATGGAGGTGATCGCTTTGGCCTCCCATGGGAACCACCCAGCCAACTACCGAACTATCCATCATACATATATGTGGGCAGGTAATTTACTTTTTACAAAATGCCTAAATGTATAAAGGTACATATATATTATATATACAAATATATTAACACCCAAACAACAAAAAACTTTGTAAAAGCGAGAACACCCTTGAACTTACAAGGGTCGATTGTTCTGTGGAGCGGGTTGATTGCATTGCTGTCGACACCCAAGCAAGTGCAAAGAAACGCGAGGTAGTACATCAATGTAGTACTGATAGCTCCCTTGCTCCAGTGACCAGCAGGAAAGTTCGAGCCACTGTAGCCCAATGTATCCTTGTTGATCTCGATGGCGTGGGCTGCAGCATTGTGAGTTACACAGTAGCGCTTGTAGTCATCGCTGATCCACTTTAGCCTGTTGTCGATGCTGCTGCCAGGAATCAGCGACTCTTGGAAAACAAGCAAAACACTGGGGATGAAGACTTTTGCAAGCCCATAATGCCAGCAGTGCCACAGGTCAACACAAAAGAACGAAGCTTCTTCACCAGGGGCAGGTCGGGGAACACCATGAAGGATGGGGGGCAGTCGCACCCAAGGGTATTCCTGATGCATGGTTTCATGCCACTTGGCCCTCGAAGAAACATCCTCGAAAGGAATGTTGTGCTGCGGGTCCTCATGCTCACAGCCAGCTTTGCATAGATGGCAGATACCAATCACCAACTGTTTCGATTCAGCTGCCCGGGGCATGCGAGTGTAATCCCTTGTAAACTTTCCCAGTTTGGACAATGCCAAAAGATCACCTTTGGTACCACAATGCACAACCCAGACCCGCCTTTGCCCACAACTATCAGTGACACCCGTGGTGTAAAGAGTGTGCATGTCCGCTGCAAACTCCTTCATGAGCCCCGGCACAGCCTCAGGCTCAGCATCCGATTCTGATTTGAGCATGGAGGCATGGATAAAGTGAGTACCCCAAGTATTGCCAATGAAATTCATTCCCATCTCATCATCTTTCACGGGGATGTCCTGGCCATCCCCCATGGGGTCGTCCTGTTGGGCCCGGCGCTGTGGTTGGGTCCCCACACCCAAACACCCATGGGTTGAGAATATAAGTAAAGGCCGCTTTTTGAAGGTTCTCCCTTCATCCGTATGGGTGAAAACAGGTATCGCTCTGGCGAGGTCGATGTTTTCATTCTCCCACAGCTCATGTTGCGGATACAAAGCTCGGTATCGCGACCAAAACTCAAGAAGAGTATCCTCCATGTTGTTTTCGTCCGGAACCCCTGTGAGCTTGTAGAGGAGGTGGTGGTCCAAAAGATAGGTGATCCACTTTGAAAGTTTGATGAACGTCAAGCTCTTCAGCCCAGGGGAATCCCCTAGCACAAGTCGTTCGATGTTGATCGTAATAGTAAGACCGCTTGCCCGAAAGATTCGATGGGCTCCAGTCTCAGCATCTTTTGATCTCACTTGTGCAAACTGAAGCAAAGCACTTGACTGGCCTGCCGGGTTGTCCTTCACCGCTGCCTGCGCCACCTTGACGGTGTGCTTGCAAGCTGCCTCAGGTTGTGAGTTTGTAAATCCACAAAATCCAGGGATTGAAAGTTGGCATTGAACATGATGCAAACAGCTCGTCGATCACGGCATGAGAAAGCACTAAAACCTTTTTGTTTGCCACACATGTTGCTAAGCTTCCAGGCAAGCATGCATATCTTGAATTGGCAGAGTCGCGAATTACCCCAAAACAGCATNNTCCTCGAGCAGCAGACCTAATTTCTTAGATTAGTCAGATCGAAACCTGTAGAGCTCTACATAGTCAGACTCGGTTATAGACTAACCCACCCATTTGCCCTGATCCGCTCGACCACCTGTAATGTAAACATAATATGGTGGTCCCCTGGAAACATGATGGTTCAGAGCACCTTCACCCCCACTATCGGCTTCATTCTTGCAGCCGGGAAGGTGTTGAAAATGTGATATCAGGGCAGCCTCTAGCATGTGCACTAGGGCAACATCATCTGCTTCATGGATTATCCACATTGCAGTGAAACTCCTTTGCAAGTAAGCAATATATCGAATGCAAGGATTCGCCGTAACACCGATCTTGAAACAACACAAGGACACACCGTGGTTTTCGCGAAAGCATTGGGCCTGCAGCCTGGCATGCATTAAAATTTTGCCACAATTCGGTCTAGTTCGGTTCGCCCTGGCCCGCAGTCTGCGGTCACGTAAACCCATAGATGTCAAGACTTCCCATGGCATAGTGAAATCGTCGGCTTCACCAAAGCGACGGAGGGTTTGGATTGCCAGAGCCAGAGGTACCTGAAGTGTTGAGGGGCCATACACATAAAAGCATCATGGAGTTGCTATCGGACATGCACACTCCATGCATGCATAACGGTAGCTGTGCAAGCCAAGCTTCTTTGGATTTCTGTGCCGGGGCTACACATTGTGGCGGTCTCACCAAAACATCCTGAGCCGAGGCAACATCTGCGCTTTCATCCTCCGCGATTCTCCGATGCTTGGAGCTCATAGGCCCAGAAGATTCCCAGGCCACAGGTGTCCTTCAGGCACTATATATGTAGTTCTGTGCAGTGGATGGCATGAGACGGGAACACCGACCTGCAATCATGCTACGAACAAGCATGCTTTTGTTGCCTAGTTGCTTCGTGGACTCGGGGCTCGGGGTAGTGAGATTCGAATTGACAGCACATCGCTTCTTCCCAGTCACCCCACAGTCGTAGGTGAGCAAGTCAAGCAAATCATCGGTGTCACTGTCCGTATCCATGGCTGAACAGGATTGCTGCGATGCGAAAGCTTTTAAATTGGTTTAGGAGTTTAGGGATTTGGGGTTTGGCAGGCTTTGGAAAGAAGATTTGGGATGTGTATAGAAGTCTACATTGCATTGGTGTATGTATATACTATAAGTTACAAAAGCCCATACAAATAACGAAACATAGCAAAATATATAGATAAATAACTAGAACATATATATATATAGCACATATATATATATATCCATACATACATATACGGGTTGTCACTACATATATAGGTACATAGAGGTTCAGCTGGGGATATAAAAAAATTGGGGCACTACAGGTTGATTGTGGGATCCAAATGATTTTTCTGAAGAACGACTTGAGCACTGGGCTTCGAACTTGCATATGTTTTGACAAACACAGAGCAACAGAGCAGACGAACACATGCTGCTGCATTCGTTCATGCACTTTGAATCTGCATAGCCAAGGCAAGTACACCCTGGCCCACCATCGATGCCAGCTCTCGCAGGAGGTGACCCGGAGTATCGCCGCCTGGCTGGCACCATGCGCAGGAATTCCAGACATATGTGTGTGTGTACATGCACATGACAGCACAAAGAATGAGCCGTCACTCTGTTTTGATCCGATGATGCTTCGATCGGGTAGTGCTTGATCAAGCTTGACAGCCGCGCCCTTGTACATATGTAGTAGGCACAGGTTTGCAAATCCAGGGAGCCGAAAAACTCCATTACCCCATGGAGCTTCGAAGCACCACTTTCGAAATTCGTAACAGCAACAGGGTATCCCATTGCACAGCCTCCATGCCCGATTTGCTCATACCCCCGCATGCGAGAAATGAGCTGTACCCGGTAGCGGCATGCCACTAGCCCTCCTTCTCCTCAGCAGCCTTATGCAATGCCTTCAGCAAGGTCCTGCAGAGCCCAGCAATGCAAGCTCGACATTGAAGATTGAGAGAACATGTAATTTGTGTGTCAGCGAAACATACCCGCCCAAGTGAGTTTATGCAACTGAGCGGCCGAGCAGAGTTCTCCTGCCCAGCCACTTTGCTGCACCTTCGTAGCAAAGGCAGAATAACCGTGGTGGCACATGCACATCAGTATAATCTAGAAGCCGAGCATAGTGCATCATTTTTTGTGGACAAGGCACGCAAGCCGGGATTTCTTCATTTGATTCTTGATCGTCTCCACCAACCTGAACCATGCAGGGTTTATATAGGCTATGTAGGGCTTAGAAGGTTTAGTTCAGGGTCATGGGTTCTGCAAATGCAAATGTTGCGCCCGAGCTCATTCCAAATATCGCAGACAAGTAGCGGCTTGCCAATGTCATCAGAACACCCCCTTTCGCCCAGATCGGCGGCAGCGACTTTCTCGGCCTCGATCTTCTCATGCTCTTGATTGAGGCAGGAGATCGCATTCTCCAAGCCCTGGATACACCTTGCATGCATCAAAGTAAGATCTGTGAGAGTCAGCGACTTCAGAGTACAGTTTGATCTGCATGGGTCATGGAATGCATGCTGCTTGTACCCAACCTCAGCCCAGCCCCCACCGATATTTTGTTATTGCAAACGATTCTCATACAATGAGCTCCTGACGAACGGAGGCGCTTCTGCTCCGATGCTTTGCCGGGCTCATCTTTCGATGCTGACTGTCCCTCGGCAAGGAACATCTCCAGCTCGGACAACATATCCGAGAGCTTAGCAGCTTTGGACAACAAGGAGTCCCCAAACTTCTTCAAGTTGTTGTACTCCTGCACATGCACACCATAGTCTGATTTGATACTTCAGTATTCTTGGATGATGGGGGACACTTCGGGGAAACTTCAGTGCTTGCAACCACACAGACATCGGATGTGGAATACATGCAAAAAGCACATGTGCGGCAGAAGGTTGACAATGAGACAGTCCTCCTGATAGCCAGTGAGTTTTTTGCATTTCTTTCCTCCTTCGTCATCCTCACTGTCAGAGGGCTCCGGCTGCGCTGGCAGCTGGTCGAGCTTTAGCTGAACGCCCTTGAGCTTCCTGGTGGCTGGATCGCGGCTGACCTTAATATAAGGGTCAGGGTGGAATTACGACTCAAGATTGTAAGGACTTGCACCTATATAGGATCGATAGAAGTAATTTTGTAGCAAGGAGCCGTGTCAACCTCCTTTTCCTTCTCCTCTTCCTCCTCCAGCTCAGCATCGTTGTCACAGTCTTCATACTCCACATAGTACTTCTGCAAGCCTTTCTGATACCTATCTTTCCTCAGCCATGCATGCCCCATGCGACAGCAGATTGCTCGGAATCATCATGTAATTAGTATCGGCCAAAGTGGCTTCACCAAGTGTTCGCGGCCCTGCTTGGTACAGTACTTCATGACTTCACCGATGTACTTCCTCAGGCAGCCACCCACACACACACACACAAAGCTACATCAGTTCAATGAGACAACTTGTTGTTTGCTAGGTAGTTCGTCTCACACCAGCAAGTATCACTATACGGATAAGCAAATCGATACGACAAGCTAGGATAAGGCCGATAAGGTAAGATAACAAGAGCTATAGACTGATGGGCAGCGAGCAAAGAGTGGTCTGAGAAGGCTAGCTCATCACTATACGTATGCATACATACTCAATAATGTGTGTGTGTGTATTAATATATGTGTATATATATATACGTGTATATAGATATAGACAGATATATGTTTCGTAGATATAGAGATGTGCACACAGTCATGTTTGTACCTTTATATGAACAGATTAATGTACACAAGTACATTGATTCCACGGCTACACAAACAAGAAAGCAAACAAACGAACAAACAAAAACACAGAACAATGTCTATATAAATACAAGTTTACTTGTTCATACACTTATAGATGTATACAATAGACACCTTTACATACTACATATGTCTTGGCTATCTAGTTGTATATAGTTACAGTTGTAGATGTGTGTATATATATACATATATATGTATGTGTGTGTGTGTCCATCAACATATATGGCAGATAGGTCAATGTGTGCATTTGCTTAAATTATATAAATGCTATACAGTCTATTAGTACACAATTTCATATTATTATCTATCATTCAATATTAAGTTTGGACTCTGCTATATTATGTTCTATTCTGGGACATGAATGGTTTTCTTCGTATTCTACAATCACTCTATAGTATTGCAGATATTCGATTATTGAAATTGTAGTATATTGTATACAGCAAAATATTATGGACACATTTTGCATATATACATACACATACATACATATATATATATATTCTTGATTATGTTGCATATTCCTTGTTGCAAACACAGTCAATATATACATATATATTTATATTATTTATGTATACTCTACTTACATGCTTGTGTGTTCGGGTATTGCATGTATATATATATACATACATACACATGTAGTACATGTATACATCTAAAACTCTTTATGTATACAAGGAAGAGATCCGTGGTGAAATAGAGCGAGAGAGAGAGAGAGAGTGTGTGTGTGTGCATATGTTCGAGAGTGTGGGATGAATAGAGATGCGAAGCGACTATGACAAAATAAAGGGGAATACACAAGCAGCCAAACAACGGAAGCAACGAGGATAAGCAATACGAGAGATAGAGATTTATATAGAGAGATCTATAGATCAGTGGTATAGAGATATATAGAGTTCTAAAGAGATATGTATATATATATGTATAGAGAGAGAGAGAGATAGAGCGAGAAAGTGTATATTGATGCGGGTAAATCACAGCAGCTGAGCAGCTTGCTCCACAACAGCTTCTTCGCCATTTGCTCTGCCGTAAACCATCCCCGCTTCTTGCGGCGAGCCTTGGTCGACTTCTTCGTCAGTGTCCTCTCGACGGTCTTCAAGAAGAGGTCCTGTGCATAGTCTTGCCGGGTTGACACATGCAGCTGCTATACAAGCTCGGAATGTGGGAGTGGGGCAATGCCTACATACATTATGCGCTTTCTGAAGTTACACAGACACCTCTCCACAACCCCTCCCCCCCAGTCAGAGTTCCAGTTGCAGTCATTCTCCAAAAAGTTCAGCAAGTCATCGCGTTCTGTCCCACCACGCATGTAGGCTTCATGAATGGCCAGGGGCACCTTAATCTTGCCGCT